GGAGCCACAAATAAGAGTTTGTAGATTCCCAGATTATCTACTGAATCAATCCTTTTGATTTTTTAACTTTTTGAAATACATATTTGCTTTAAATGAGGTCAGTTGGCAGATGGAGATAGTAAGAAGGAAGAGCAAACTGTAATTTTTTAAATTTCTTTGTGTCTGTAGTTTTAATGGGATATATTTACAGAATGGCCAAGACTGGAATGAACCTCTATAGATCATCTAGTCAAATCACCCTGCTCAAATCAGGGTCACATGAAGGAGGTTGCTCCAGTGGCATTCTGCCCAGTGCGTTCCTAGTATCAGCAACGATGGAAAATCTATGCCTTTCCCTGAACAATCTGTCATCTCTCAGGTTGGCCAAGCATAATTGCACCTTTGCTAATCAATTCCAGCTACTCCCAATAACCTTCTTGTACTTCCCACAATTCAGAATGGTTTCCAGAATAATTTGTTCCTATACATAGCTTTATGGTTGATTGGCCTAAAAGTTCCTGAATCCTCCTTCTTTCCCTTCATGAAGGTAAGGAGTGATCTTTGCTTTCTAGCAGCTCCCAGGAGCTGTCATGACCTTTCAAATGCAGCTGAAGTCTTTGTGATGACATCAACCAACTCCCTCAGCACTTCAGGATGCACCCCATCAGGTCCCATGAACTTCTATGCATCACTTTTATCCAAACATTTCACAGTCTAACTCACCTCCAGCCAGGGCAAGTCTTCCTTTCACCAGACCTTCCATAAGGTCTCATGGTCCGGAGTTCCTGAGGGCAAGTCTTATAAGTAAAGGCCTAGGCAAAGAAGACAGCGAGTGCCTCTGCCTGTTCTGCATCATTTATCACTCCATTTCTTACCCCATTCAATAGAGGACCCACATTTTTCATTTTCCTTTTGCTACTGATACATCTGTAGAAGCTCTTTTTCTTTTGCCCTTCACATCCCTCCCTGGATTCAACTCCAGGTGGGCATTGGCTTTCCCAACCCCATCACTGTGTATTCAGGTCTTCCTGCATCACACAACTCTGCTCCCACATCTTGCACATTTCCATTCTAAGTTTGGATTTTCTCAGGAGCTTCCTGTGCATCCATGCAGGACTTTCATTCACCTTGTCTTGACATTAGAATGAATATTTCTTGAGTTTACAGGAATAACTTGAAATAAATGTCACTAGTTCTTCTGGATCCCTCTTCTCTCTAACATACCCCACTTTTCCTAGGCTACTCCATAATGTAACTAAGCCTATTAAGCTGCTGAAATGTTTCCGCCAAAGGTAGCTGTTGGATCTTCTAGGAAACCTCTTTATTAGCACTATATTATGTAAGTAACATCAGTTTTATTGATTGAAAACTGAAAGGCAATTTCAGTGTAATGATCTCTGTCCTTTGCGTTAGTTGCATCAAAATGAACAACCAATATAATCTGAAAGCAATTTTATTACTTTAACACTTTCATAACTCATTAGTAAACATGCACTTATAATAACCTAAATCTGAAAGACACAGGCAAATGGAACAAATACAAGAGTTAAAAGAGCATGATGGAAGGCTTTTCAACTTTATTTAATTAGGTGTTATTCCTCTGCTCTATTTGCTAAACATATTTTTTCAGTGACTCTTGATTTACCACCACACTGAAGATACTTTTTAAAGGTATGAGCTTCATCATCTAACATCTTAAAATGTCTAGTGAGAAAGAAAGAGTCAATTACAGCACATATAGCTAAAACATATGTTGGAGTTACGCTGGCATGAGCATCAGAAGAAGTCTCAGCTGCTAAAATGTGGGAAAAAACGACCCTCCAGAAAAGTCCAATTTTTTTCAGTAGATTAGAAAAATAAGCATTTCTAAAAAATTAATCCCTCTAGAAAAATAAACCGTTTCATGAAAATTGACTCATTATCTGGCATGTTCACTGCACTTTGACATGCCCTTATTTAATTTGCTGCTGCAAAAGCTAAAAGAGTTAAACCTTATTAATCAGTATAATTTATACATCAAGTGACAAAGTGACACAAATATTTATTTTAATATAGGTGAATCCCTAATGTAAGTGTTCCAGTTGATAACATGACTTTCCCAATAGAGATGAAGTTGTGGTTTTTTTAGCAATATGGAGTGTATATCATCAGAAGCAAGAGCAGTATTAACTTCTATTTAGCAAAACTGAAAAATTAAATGCAAATCCATAAGAATTTAAACCAAATAGTGTCTATTTCCAACAGAAATTCTGCACTTCTTCAGGCCACACTGAGAAGAACTCTATCGCCACTTACTGGGCAGATACGGGAGTTCACGGTTTGAAAACAGCACAGGGGGATGATTGCAAAGCTACCAGAGTGAATAGGCAACTCACTTATACTGAGGATACTAGTCCGACAGAAATTTTTCGTCTTGCTGTTAGCTCTCACATGCCATATGCTTGAGAACATTATACTTCCCTATTTAACCTCACCTAAACCCTTTATTTTATTCACCGTTGTGTGGCCATAGTCGAAGACTTCCCTACCTACCAGTCAAAATACACTGTAATGATAATTTCTGTGTTCAAAATAACTGAACACATGAACTTATGTTAGATTTAAAACAGTGTAGGGCTATCAACACAAAAAAACTCACCTGGATTGTGTTTTTTGTGGGTTGGTTTGGTTTTGCTTTTTTGGTTGGGGTTTGTTTTGGGGTTTTATTGGTTCAATGTGTATGGACACATCCATACTGACGTCTCAAGCCAGCAGCATTTCAAGTTTCATATAAGCAAAATAATTTTCTCCTCTGGAATATTCTCCATTCTTTCCACCAGCAGACAATATTCTGTTCACAGAAATCACAGAATATCCTGAGTTGGAAGGGATCCACAGGGATCATCAGCTCCTGGCCCTGCTAAAGACAGCCCCAAGAATCAATGTGTTTGTTCCCGAAAGACTGTGTATATGTTTGTACATATTTGTTTAATTACTCCTCATACCTAAAAAAACCATACAAATACGACACTTCTTCCACATGTCTGCCTTTTCTTGCTGTTCTGACAAAATCACTCATTCACAAGCCATCTTCAAAACTTCGTACTTAGCAAGTTTCTAGATCATTCTAAACCATGTTTTTCACAAAAACAGATCCACTGTGACAATCAACGTAGTCTAACACCTTTTTCTGGTTGTCTCCTAATCTTTCCTTCCATCCACACAAAGACTAAAATATGCATCAGAAACTGTTGTCATCATCACCATTTCTCTTCTGTGTGTCTATCTGTCTCAGCTTCATGGGTTCATGCACGCACATTACAGCAAGTACAAACACCCTTCAAAGCTGAGCTTCAAGGCTCCATCGAGGCTGAAAACCCCCAGAGTGCCACCAACAGAAAAATAAGATGAACAGACTTACACCATATAAAGGTGGTAATCACTATTTTAGCTAAGTAATAGTAGGCCCACTTACAAAATTCACCTTTAATCGTATCAATTTTTGCCATGCACATTACCTCTGAGTCTCTCTTCTACAAGAAATGAAGTTGAATTTATTACCTTCCATTCTTTCATTTATTTAGCCTCTTGCTTCTTCACAAGTCTGTTTTCTTTTTGAATTCCCTTATCTCCGCTCCACAAGTAACACCAACTAAGAACCAACCTTTGTCAGTCTCTAATGGTCACTCTTTGTCTTTCTTCTGAGTTTCTTCAGAGGAAGAGATACCATCTTTTTACCTAAATGCTACACAATTCAACTCGAATCTTTCCTTAACTGTTACTACACTTTATTATTTCAAGAAATAATACTTAAAAGTATTTAATTATGTCTGATTATGTTGTACAAATGTATATTCAAGAAACAGACCACATAAACCTGAACACAACTACAGCAACCACTTCCGACCAGACAGGATAAACATTCCTTTCAGTCTGCTTCCTCAAGTTCCCTGTAAAGGTATATTAACTGTTCCACCTGTTTAAGTAATAAAAGTCTCATGTAAGTTTAGCCTCCAACCAATGTGATTTATTTTTTTTTAGAGAGAAGAATCTGTCTGAAAGTTATGTAGCCCAGCAGCACCGTATCACCATAATTGCCTGAACTGTACAGAGCGTGCTAGAGTAATTAATGGAAATAACAATTCTAAGTAAGAACTTCTGTTAAGCCTCAAGTACAAACGTTAACTTTTCTCTCATAACAGTTACAAACCAATCAGAGCTTCTCAGTAGTTCTTCAAAGCATTTTTGATGAGATGTAGTTTTCACTAAGTTTACAAGAAATCCTTATGGATGGGTCAAGCTTTTGTATTGTTTTCTAACTGACAGGTAATGGAGAACTCCATTTCTAAGACCAACTGAAGATATTAAAAGCACCAAAACCTACCTGCTGCTCAGTATTTCCCTGCCCTAAACCACATCTACAACAGATTATTTGTCGCTGCTCAAGAGATTTACTGCACTTTACGTAATACACCAAAAAAACCCAAAAAAACCCACTAAAATCCACTGAGAAAAAATATACAATATCCAAAGCAAAATACAGGCAGAGCAACTCCCTGAATCTGACTTTCGAAAAGCATTAGCAGATTAACAGTGCATTAGCAGATTAACAGTGCATAACTGTGCAGTATTTGCCTGGGCACTGTACACATTCAAAACAGGCTTACCCTCAGTAAGAGAAAACACAGATTTTCAAGAGTAGCTAAAGCATTACTTACGGTATGGTTTATCTCTCTGCATCTTATTTACCCTTTCAACTTTCAGATCCAACCAGTTTTTCATCTCTTGCCTTCTTTTTTGTTGTTGTTGTTATGAGAACACAACACAAAAATAAAATGGAAGATAGACTTCATTTCAGGGCTGACACCACCACTAAAGGCAACAACTTATTTAGTACCACACAGTACAGGCAGAATGTAACTATCACTTTTTAGAATTTGAAAAATATGAATGCAAATACTAGCAAATTACCTACAGTTTAGAGAAGGGATTAAAATATTATGTAGTACTTATTCAGTAAAAGAGTAAAACAACATCAGTACCTCCTGTTTTCAGCCAAATCTGCACCTTCATCCTTGAGCTCCTTACTTTTCTTTACACAGTCTTCTAAGAGAATTTCCTTTCTTCTTTTAGTTGCGTGCACCCAGTTAGCATCATCATCGCCAACCAGATCCTTCTCATCCGCAGCTTCTGCTTCAAATTGCTGAGAAGTGGCTCTTGAAACTTTCTCACCGATCTTTCTCTTCCAACCAAAAGAAGCCATTTGGAGAACTGGAGAAAAAAAAGGTTAGGTAAGGTTAGATAACGAAGCTTTTAAGTACACAGGATACAAAACACACCTCACTGCTCTCGATCCCAGAGCGGTAAAGTGGAGCAGACTGGCAGCCCCCCTGCCCACGGCTTCACCACAGGTGTTAATGAGGGCAGCCCCGTCTGGAGCCCCAGCGCCGTTACCTGCGGCTCCCGCCGGGAAATTCCCCCCAGCTGGAAGTACCGTGCCAGCCGTAACCCAGCGGCAGGAAGCGGAAAGGCGGGGCGGCAGCGGCAGGAACACAGGAGAAGGGAGAAAGGAAGGGAAGGAAGGCCTGCGGCAACTAGCGACAGCCGGGAGCTGTAGTTCGCCGAAGGGCGGCCGCGGCTCGGGGTGTCAGTGCCTGTGAAATCCCCGTGCCTGAGGCTCCCAGGAGTAAAGGAGCCCCTGCGGCGGGCCGGCTGTTCCCCGCTCCTGCCGGGATGCATGTGCGGACGGGGCAGCGCCGGGCAGCGGAGCGCGGGGGAAAGGGCGGAGGGGCGATAACACTTGTCCCTGTAGGAAGCAGGCGTTCCTGATGCCCGAGTGCCGCAGGGGGACGGGCGGGGGCCGGGAATGGCCACCTCGGCAGCACCGACTGCGCCTGGGCCAGCGCTCACCCCCCGCGGGCAGGCGGCTCCCGCCGGGATAGACCACAAGGAAAAGTGACCAGGGCTGATAAGGAAGGGGTTTAACTCTAAACGGATTTAAAAAAAAAAAAAAAAAAAAAAAAAAAAAAGGCTGCAGGGTTTAAAACTGCTCCCAAGTTACAGCGACAAATACCGAGGCAAAAGCCTCACCCCCGGTGCGTGGAAAGGGCAGACAAGGGGAGTCACCGCAGGGGGGCAAAAGGCAGCTTTTACACTGAGTATTCAGTGTCCCTCCCACCAAAAATTCCTTTTCCGCACCGAAAGGGTTTACAGGATCTAGGGGAAAATAGGACCGTGCGAGCTCAGCTGGGGAACCAGCCTGCCTAGCTGGAGGTTCTGCAGTCCTTTGTCGTGTTGCTGCTCTCTCTAAAATTGTAATTGCTGTTTTTAAAACAATTGTAATAGTTCTTGTCCACTTATAACATGCACAACACTAGAAGACAGCATGCACACAGTTTCAGACAAGATGGTTCAGTATTTTATGTTTACTTGGTTTTAAGTTTTGAAAGTTTAAAAAGTTACACAGTTATAAACAAGCATTTTTGCCATTCAGCTTTGTCAAAAGAAATTAACAGAGGAAGTAGGCACATATTTGTTAAAGAACAAGACTTCATATCTTACAATGGTAATCAACTGGTAAAATAAAATTTAGTTCAAAGTTTGTATTAAACACTAATATCAAGACAAACATGAAAGTTTTTTTTTTAATATTGCACAACCAAGATGAATTTTTATCCATTACTTAGTGAGTTGTATTGCATATGGACAGTAAGGTTCATCCATGTTATTGAAAAATTTACAATACAAAGGCAAGATAATTCATTGTACTCCAAAAAGAGTAAGCTTGGGAATACAGAGTAACACACTGGACCAATTTGTGTATTTGCATAAGCTGCCTCCTTACAACCCTGACAACTCTAGTGAAGTTTCATTTCACAGCCTCTTGGCAGCTTCTAGTGCAATGCTAAAGGTCTGCAGGATCAATAAGAACATGTAAAGAAAGCAATTTCAACAGCAAGATCTATAAAGCATAGGAAAGTCACGCAACAGGCAACTGGGTTCAACTAGGTTGTTAGTGCTCCTTTCTACCCCTCCCACTCCCTATAAAAATCTCAGTTCAATCAAAAAATCTTCAGCCATCAAAACTGAACTACCATACCAATAAAAATTTACTTTATTTAAAACTACACATATTGTACACTTCTGCCAGAAACTTGCTTTAGCTTCCAGATACCAAAACTAAAGAAAAAACATGGTTGTCTTAATGCACAAGAGGGCCAAAAAGGTATATAAAAATTAAAAGCTATTTGCACCTTGACATCTTGCATTTGTTGTCAGTATTACAAGGAGCAGAAAGCATTTACAAATAGTTTAGCATATGTAAGTGATACCAAACCAATTCCAGATGAGGAATTACTGCAATTTAAAAACCTGTGCGTGTGTAGTGCTTATACAAGTGCAATATTCAGTAATTTTGAAATAAAAGGATTACAAAAATGAACACATAGATTTATCCAGTACACCAGAACCAATTCTTCAAAGACTAAAAACAGGATTTTATTGTAGGATTTGCAACTGGTCCCTCATGTTGACATCTGAACCTCAGGAGGTATGACACTTGAGGATAAAGAAATGAACTTGGAAGTTGTACCCCCCTACTAGACAGACCTCACAATCGCCCACTTCAAAACAAAGGTAGAGCAGGTGGGCTTAAAGCAGCTTTATGTTTCTTCAGATTCTGTGCATATTCAAAACATTAATTTTTGGACTGAAGCCAGGTGGCCAGGATTAAACTGTTCCTATATCTGTAGCTATCAGTCTCCCATGAATTAAAATCTCAGTCATTGGTAAGAATTTCCATCCATTTGAAGAGTCCAGGTTTCACTGCTGGATTTCCAGCCTCTCCCTTGAAACTAAGTAGGTCATGAAGTTAATTTCAAAGGGAACATTAATTCTTGAATGCAAACCCAAATATTTTATGACTGTTAGGTCTAATAAGGGCTGGATGAAAATGGAACCGTAATGCAAAAACCGTAAATGCAGAAAGGTTTTTGTTATGGGTAATTGTGACTTTCTCAATATTAGCACTCAAGTTGTCGTGATCAGTTTTCAATGTTCACTTGAGAAGTCAGACTTCAATTCAGTGACATTAAATAGCGAAGTTTGCTATTAAGGCGGCCTGGGAAAAACTAAAAACCTGTATATGTAGTTTTAACTGCAAAGCGAATACTACACAGTATATCCTAAGATAACACGTGATAACCAGCTGTATCAAAGTATAAACTTGTATGTTAAAAAACTGTCAATTTCAGATTCTGGAATAACTTGAAACAGCCCTTAAACTGTGCCCTTAAATGTCTCTAAGGAAAAGGATTCTCAGCCTGCAACAGTAGCTGCTGTGGTACTACCACACTAAGGTATATGCACAAAACACAGACTTGCTCACAATTCTCCGCACTGCAACATTTTGTTTTAGCCCATCAGGTGCCAAGTCTTCTCAGCACTAAGTCTCTCACCGCTGCTGTGCACTCAATCGTTCAACCCACTGCCAACAGATTTTCACCCTCAGTGCATTACAGAGCACCTGCACCCATTTCCAACGGCTGGATTTGCATGCATTTAATAGAATTTATTGTTAGAAATAGCACATTGCAACATATCAAACTATTCTTTATTATTCACTGTCAAGTAAGGGGGGAGAAACACAGCAGTTTTAACACATTACTGTTATTGATAGTTCTGACCAACTGAGTCACAATTGTAGAGAGTGACCAACAAGTTATACTTGGGTCACTAAACTAGTAAGTGTACATTTACCTACAGTGCACCAGATACATGTATTACCAGTGAAAAAACCAAGGAGGTCCATCTAACTTAAGTGTTATATGCAGCCTAATGTGCACTCAATGTAAATGTTATAAACACCACCCAGAGGGCATATTATTTCCTGTACCTGTGTTATGCCATTGGGCGACAGGCAATCAGAATTCACTACAGCTTCAAAATAATATATGCTAACTGCCCATATTAATTTTAATCCCCGTGCAAATTGCATTCTGTGGCTAGCTTTTTCAGCGCCTTAGTTAATTTAACTTGATTATAATTGGAAGCGTCTGACTATGATTTAGGCATGCTTATTGCTATAAAAGAAATAAGCCCATCTTCAAAGTTATTGTGCAAGTATTTTAATTAGATTTGCACACATCTCAAAAAATTCTATTGTATGACTCCCTGGTCTTGGAGTTACGTCAGCTGTGGAAGAGTCAAGCGAAGAGTTCACTGATGAGGTAAGGGACGTATCTGCAGATTTTCCTTGCACATCAGCATCTGAATCTTTTTGACAAGATCTGTAGTTGCTCACAGAACCTGATCTCTGTGGAGTTGCAGTCCCAGACTTCGCTTCAGTAATTTCATCTGGGGGCAAGAGAAGAGAGGAGGAAAATTGGGAATCAGTATCAAATCCATTATAGGAAGAGCAAATACCTTCCCCTTCTCACACTTCTAAATCTTGTCTTTTAAAATCTTAACACATAAATAGCTTTTGCAAACTGTATATTTGATACAAAATAAAAGCTTAAATACATAGTAACACAAAGGCTTGTTGTCCTTATGCTAATTATTTCTGTACTCTGAACTGTGGCCCACAACCATTTACATCTAGTTTAGATCAGCACCAGCCATATTTTTCATTAATTGATTTCAACAGCTCACAGTTCAGTTTAGGTTACTTAAAACAAAAATAGGATAGCATAAGATTAGGTTCAATAATAGTTCAAATGTTTTGTAGATGTATTTTGTTCGCATCTACTTTATTTTTATTCTATTTTTATTTTCTTTATATTTGGGTATTTATACATTGTTATTTTTTATATTTTTTGTTATGATTCATTAGTACATTAAATAGCTAGCATCTGCATTAATTTATCATTCAGTTCTGGAAGTTTTTCACCATAGAATGTTGCACATTTGGACTGCAGCAACTTACGTTTACCTTCAGTATGAGGAGGAAATAGTTTCATCTAAGTGGTAGTGTTATGATGAAGCATTTCTAATTCTTATTTTAAATACTGAACATTAACTTGTCTCTAACCTTGCACCTGCAAAGTTATTTCAGGACAAGTAAGTGAAAAGGCAATCTCTCCTGTTTACACAAAGCTACTTCAAAGTACAAATTGTTAAGAGGAACAGAGAACAGTTAACCATAGCAGAGAGAAAGAAACATCAAATCAGCTTCAGTGTTGGAAGAAATATGACAAATCCATGACCTTTGGTTGTTTTTCCTTAAGAGCTGAAACCAGGACTGTAGCAGGATGCCCTCCCCTAGCTGCATGGCTCTAGGCAGTCATCTCCTCTCTAATGGGGACAGCATTTGTGCTGTACTGCAGTAAATTAGCACAGGAAAGTTATTGGTCCCTGGGGTCAAGCACCACTGGATCTAAGCAAGTACCTGTTAGAAGGACCAAGGCAAGAACCGTATGGCTAAATCATATCAGATTAAGCTGTCATGGGACACAGTCTTAGCCATCCTACGCTATAATCAAGCCACACTTCAATAAATCCTTTTTCCGTGCAACGTTTTCCTAGGCAAGTCATCTACACCACTGGCTGTACGTAATTTTGCTTTATTCTACTAAACTCATAAAAAAGCATTGTGGTCAGTGTCTATCAAGCTACTCCACTCATTTCCAGGAAGACATCCAACTAGGATTTGATGGTCTGCTACTGCCACTCTATAAAACACATCTTTCTACAGATCAGACCAAATGTTTTCAAGACTTTAGTTACTGCAAACATACAATTCCTGTCTCAGATTTTATCTACAGCTAGCACTGGTGGGCTGACTGTGATTGAAAGCTGATACCTCAATACACTGGGGAAGAAAATTAAAAGGGCAAAAGTGAGATAACTCAGGGGTAGACATAAACATAGTTCAATAAGAAGGGGAAAAAAAAAAAAAGGAACTCCAGGAAGGAATAAAGAAACAATAATACAAATTAGATTGGTTTGAAATAATAAAGGGCAACACTTCTAAGTAAATAAATTACAACATTTGCATTTAGAATGATTTCCCTTACAACTCAATTAACTTAAGTAATTCTTCACATACCATCAATACTACGGAAATCCAGTAAGTATGTTCTGCTGTCCACCTGATACAATTGTAGACTCATTTTGGAATATGCACTTGTTACTGGATTCTTCCTTCGAACACGTAGATAATATGGATTTACAACCTAGTACAAAAGAGATACGAGTCAATAACCAGAATTGCTTGAAAATCACTGCACGTTGTTTTTGTCATTTCAACTCACTGGTATTTATTGAGTGATTACAGACTTACCTGTTGGATTTGTGGGTTGTTGGGGTTTTTTGTGGTTTTGGGTTTTGTTTTTTTTTTTTTTTTTTTTGGTTGGTTGGTTTGTTTGTTTGTTTGGATTTTTTTAGCCAACAGAAAACAATATTCCTACAGCCCCAACAGAAAACTTAGACATGTTAGCAAGACTCATTTTCCTGTCAGCATGAATAGCCTCCCCCAAGCCCTTCCTGCCTGCGCAGCACAGGCACATGAGATCATATCCCAGCATGGGAAAATATAGTGTCAGACCTCTGCTCTATGTAACTACACAGCTCAAACAAAAACGTACTGTTTGCTGTAAAGATCCTCTATTTTGTTACCTTCCATTCATAATCCAGTTGTTTAATTGCTCGACAAACTTCAGCCATGATATCATTTGGTCGACTCTGACTCCGGATCCCCAAGTGCCATTTAGCCCTTCTCACCCCTTGGTGTTTTGACTTCTGTGGATTCAGCTCATCAAGAGTATGGCGAGGACGTGGTGCTTCAGCTACTAAAAATGGCACTCTTTCAGGGTGAGGGCGAGACAGATGGTGATCATCCAGAAAAGAATCTGGTGGACTTGTAGCCAAGTAGAAGTCTTTGGCCTCATTCATTATTCTTCTGTTATCTATAATGAGGTGATAAGCAACAGCTAAAGGGTCCTGATGATTTCGGCTGTATAGACAACTTAGCACTTCCTCTTCAGTGCACTCAAACTTCTCACACACTTCTTTTAAGGCTTCATCATCAATCATGGTAGAGCTATATGATGGGTCTTCAGGAAACAAGTACTTTGGAAGGTCCTGCTTAAACCATTCATGTTCCCTAAAATTAAAAATAAAAAATTCTGAGTGCATCTAAGTAAAGCAAACATTTTTAACATTAAAGTCTTAAAAAAAAAAAATTCATTTTAGGCTGTACAAGAAGAATCCTAGTTGCCAGTCCAAGTCTCCCTGGAACACAGGAAATACAACAGCACATAAAGTAATCACTGTCTGCACAAGATTTTACTAGACATTTTGCAAGAGACTGCAAAAAAAAATCCTTTTCACTGTAAGGTTTTCAATTACCTGGGGTCCAAAAACATCTTTCTACAACTCATCAACCAGCTTTTTATATAAAACTATATCTACCAGTCTTTGGATACATGATTGTCATCCAGATTGCTACAGATCACCTCCACCACAGCTAATTCTCTCAGATACAGGATATACCTCCCCCAGTGATGGTCCATTTGCTTCGGGAGTTTGCAAGACCTTCCTTGAAGGGATACCTTTCTTCACCTCCAAAGACTGAGGACTCCTCATCCTTTTCCAATCCTATTGGAATGGCCTTATCCCAAGCAAGGGATCCCAACTGCCAGGCTTCCTCACTCTCTAAGTCCTGATTTTTGGCCCCAATATCCCAGCACTGGAGTAACCAGCTGAGAATTTGCTCACATCATTGATGGTTGAAATCTTTTTGCTATCTCTCAGATAATTTAGGGATAAGGATCAGGTGGTTTCTTTCTCATTTATAATTTTTGTTCCTTCCTCCTCTTCTTGTGGCTGCTCTGCTACAGAAAGAGCTGCCTCTTCTGATTCCCTTCCCTGCTCCCTCTTAGGAGAAGCTTCTTTGTTCCTTACTAAACAAGATGAGTTTTGCTTCAGTTGTTTAGTTCTGTAGTTTAGTTGTTCTAAACAAAACTGTTTAGGATTTATCCATCCATGCTCTGTCAAAAACATTCTTCAACAACTTCTTTATTATCAGATTAAAGAGCTTCCTCAGACTTGCACAATAGAGACGAATTCTTAACAGCTAAGATAGGTTTTTTTCTACCCAGAGAAGTCTATACAGTGTAATTTTTGCAAAGTATTCTGCAGATAAACAGCTTTGTTATGGCAATCTTAAACCTAAAGTTTCTCAGAACTTCCACATATAACATAAATAATTTGTTTTACTGTGACCTCCCAATACATATTTCATTGTCCATTGGAAATGAGCACTGTCAGAGCTAAAACCAAACCACCAGAAGCCAAATTTTTCATCTCAGTCTAAAAAACACGGACAAGCTGTATGAATGATTTCTTTGCTCTCCAGATTTGCACTACTGTAATTCCAGCATCTGGTGATGAGACATCAGCTATTGTTTTACCTAATGTCTCTGACTGTTGCTCTCTTCATTGGATCCACTTGCAGCATGTGCTTCAAAAGACTAATTACAGACGGATTCAGGTACTGAGGGGTATAAAAGATACCATCACATATCTTCTTAAAAAGGGTTGGCACGTGATCATCATCAAATGGAAGTGTTCCACATAATAAAGCATAGAGAATAACCCCACTGCTCCAAATATCTACTTCTGGGCCTGCATATAACCTGTGAAAAGATTAACTATTAGTGACTTGTGTGCAACACATTTAAATATTTCTTCCCTCTACTTTCTTACATTGTATCACAGTAATTAAAAGCACATTACCTAGGACAACTGATGTGCAAGTACTATACCATTTCAATTCTATGCTATGCCTCCCTTGAACTTCAGTATCCTTCCCCTTCTAATATGTAACAGGGCACAAGAACAGAGCTTCCCTCTTTATTATATAAAAATAATCCACAATCCAATTTCAAACAATGGCAAACTGAAAAAAACATGCATCTACTACTAAAAAAGCCCATGTCATACATTGTTATCAATGCCTTAGAGGAATCTGTGCAAAGTCACCTATCTCCCAAATCGAGGCTGAAAAGTTTAAGACAAGTTCCTATAGCAGAACCCATCACATGTTGTGTGCTACTGCCAGAGTAAAACAGATATCTGGCCACCAAATCAGAAACAGGCAATATGAGAGTAGTTGGCTGAAAGCAGATTTGGCAATCATAGTCCACAAAAGGGGAGGTTACCTTCAGACTGAGTATCTGCTCTGCAGCAGGTATGTCACTGCGACTCAGCCTCACAGCAGGCTTCACCTGTAACTCTGTCTGCACCTTTCCTTCCAAGGTCTGAGCTATACATGAGATTTTTAAACCAATTCAGGCATATTGTACACACTGGATTTGGGGCATCGAGAGCAGCTCTACCTTACAGGAAATATTCAAAGCTAGTTCATAGACGCTTTAAATATTCATGAAAAATTATCAGTACCACTAACAGCCCACAGTTTCTCAGCATCAAGGTTGTCAACTGAACCAGTTTTGTAGCCTTTAGAATCAAGCAGTAAAATGACTGAAGTACATGCACACATGTATCCAATATAAAAGAAACTACCTTCCTGAAATTACTTCTGGTGCAGCATAGTTAGGGGAACCACAGCTTGTTCTTAAAAATTCTCCATCTGACATCATATTTGATAGACCTGAAAGTGTATAAGAGTAACTACTAAAAATTCAGGGAGCAAAACGATTTCACACTGCATATACTGCCTAGAACAAACCACTAGTAAATCAAATTAGAAAATCAACAAATTTATCCCAGTTAAGAATAACGTTGTTTGGAATTACTGAAATTTTCACATGAACATGGCACATAATCCTCCATTTAGTTTACCAGAAATCTGAGTAACATCAATCCACTATTGCCCATAATATTTGAGAACATATCCATTCCAAGACAAAAACCAATTCAGTTTGGGTGACACAGGCATGACAGAGAACAAAGCTGCTCTAAGAGAGATGAAGCAGAATAGCAAGATAGGACTTTGGTCATTAACAAGAAAATACTAAAAACCACATTTGCTTCTAAAATGCCAAAGTGGAAGATGTTACCACAGAATTTCCCAGAATTCTGTAAGGCAACTGAGGAGTAAACATGACTTCACCACAATTTAAACCACTGCACTGTTCAGCTGGTTCTGGAATCACTGCAGTTCAGCAGTTTGGGTTTTAGATACTCTGTTAGCAACTGAAGTCTTCTTTAGAACTAGGCCATCTTCATTCACCAGCCCTCAGTAAAGTCTAAGACCTGTGGAAAATATCTTCTAGTTTCTTCAACAGAAGCTGCATGATCAAGACTACCATAAGCCAAAGAACTTAGTCTCCAAGAAGGAATTATGCCCTTTTATGGGGCAGAAGGGAGTGTGGGGTGGAGTAGTGGTGGTGTGTGGAGATGAAAGATTACGGCTTGACTAGCTTTAATATTCTAATATACAAAACCTTTTAATAACTAGTCATGATTAACTGAGTGCTACAGTTTTACTGACATGAAGTTACTGTACTTCATTCCTTTGCCATGTAAGCCATTTCACCCACAGCATTTTCCACACATGAGAAATCAGTATGATTCCCAGGGCCCACATAGCTGAACATCATAATTTTTAAAACATACTTAGAATATCCAGCCTTACCTAGCACCTTCACTGGAGACTCAAAATAGTTTACAAAGGCATATCCACTATGACTGTAGGAGATAAGTCATCATGACAAAGCAGCACAGATACTCTACTATGCTATTATATGGTAAGGGTTCCTGACTCAGATAGTTCCAAGAACTAGCAGCAAGGCTTCTCTGCAGCTACGTCACAAACTGCCATAAACAAATAAGCTTTCTGACTAATTACACAGGTATAGAGCAAAAAAGCACAAGTGGTTGCAAGACTAATTGTTCTTATTTTTACTTTTACACTTTAGTTTCTTTTTCTTGGAGTAATTTAATAGTAGGACTAGTTTCTTTTACTATACCACTGTGATTCTTAAAGATGGTTAAGTGCCCCTACATTGTCCTTCCAAGCATCTACATTTTACAGATTGTGAAGACAGGCAATAGCAGTAAGTTCTGAAGTGCAAAGGTCAGGAACTAAGTTCATTTAGCATTTCAGAAGAAGTATTATTAAGGAAAATCAAAGAAACTAGTTCACAGTTTCACCTAGTCATAGAAAATACTTGAAAAGCAAGCTTGAGAGGAAAACAAGTTCAGTAGATGTGCAGGAACATTATTTTGCTTTACATTTATACTCTTGATATTCTTATATTGTGTCCAACCATCAGAATATTCAAGTATATACACTTTAATTAATATTTCCCATAGTTATTCACAGGATCTAACACCAGAGATGCAATCAGACACAAAAAAGAAATCCTTACCAAAGTCAGCTATCTTGGCATTCATGTGTGCATCAAGCAGCACATTTTCAGGCTTCAGATCTCTATGTACCACCATATGCCTGTGACAGTAATCCACACCAGAAAGGATTTGCTGGAACAGACGTCTACTTTCCTTCTCATCGAGCTGAAACAGACAAAGATTTTAAAACATTATGAGACAGTGGAAGTTCACTTGTTTTTCATTTGTATGAGTTAGAGGAAATTTTTTCCATGACCTAAAGTTATCATTTATCTTTTGGATTCTTTATATAACAGATTATCAGAACTTGTAGCAGAATGCTTCATACCTTACATAATTTTGTTTTTACACAGCCATAAAATGACTAAACAAAACACAGACACTGACTCAGAAAGTCACTAAAATTTCTCAATCACACTTTTAAAATTGGTAAGGAAGATGTTACATACTAACTAGAAACATTAGCACTCAAACATTAACTTTGTCTTAATTGTAATATCAATGAACTTTGACATTTTAAGCACAGCATAAGATTTAAGTTGGTAAAAGTTGCTAAAATGCAGCAAAAATATTATGAATTTCAGATGCTACTTACGTTAGCATCTAGTACCAAACAGCAGACTTAGTTAGGCAATTCCTATAAAGATGCCATAATCCACATCAAAGTTTGTCCTAGCAACTAATAAAGTTTATAACTATATGGTCACTCAAAGTGACTTCAGAGCTTTTACAGAAGCTGTTCTAAGAGTTAAAGACAGTAATAAGTGCACAGTTATTACTACTGGTAACTTTCCAGTACTGGGGTTCACTGAAGAAACAGTTTTCAGCTACTCCAGCTACATATCAATCCAGTTTGTACCCAGCCATTGAAAATTAATGTATTAGTAAAGAGGAAAAATGCTACAACAAAGTCACACATACGGACTGAAAAACACATAACCACTTGTACTTTCAGAACAAAACACAGTCATAAAGTGTATTTTATTGATAACAGCAGAATTAAAGTGAAACACATGAAAACACACCTTCATTTAACAAGGTGTGACCGGTTCCCCTGGTCCCAGCCCCTGATAATGTGGATAGCTTAATAACTCCATTTTATGAAGCAAGCAACCATCTGTGACCGAGTGAGTCATGTGTTCATGCTCCTTCCCTCACTATCAAGCCCCAAAGATCCTGTGAAGCAAGCAGACAAACCAGACTTCTCCTCCTCCCCGCTAGCCTCAAGATTCCTGGGTGCAAGGCTGATTACCCACTTCCTTACCAGCCTTTAGTTCCCAGGCAACCTGCCAGCCTGGTGGCAGCAATGACTCTCTCATGGAAAAAGGAAGTGCAACAGGAGCCAGAGCAGAGTCTTTATCATCAGACAGTTACAAGTCCTAAGTGGGAATGAGACTCATACCTTTCCACTGGCTACAGATGCCTCCACAATAGCCTGCTTCCCCTTAGAACTGAGTGACTTGTATTCTCTCATATGATTTTCAAGTCTAGACTGTGATTGTTATATCGATACAGCAAAATACATATTAAGATTTGACCAGATCTGCAGAGGGTCAGGGTGATTTGATACCCTAAATTGTTGTGTTAGAAATTCTTCCCTACACTACTTATAAACTGTACTACATTGATTCTGCTAACTAAAAGCCTATGCCACTCGAATAATAAATCCTGTGCTACACTAATCATAATATTCTGTGGAGAAAATAAACCTTTAATTGTACCATTCTGCTGAGGATACCCAAAACGAATATGCCTGTCCCCTCAGTGTGGGGTGACGCAGGAATGTTGCAAAAGCAGTAATACAATGCAAGTTGCTGATTTGCAAAGTTGGATTACTTCTTACCCTTCCATTTTTACAAATATAATCAAACAGTTCTCCTCCTGAAACATATTCCATCACCATGAAAATGTCAGTGGGTGTGCTGATGACCTGGTACCTGATAAGAGAAGGTATCTATTAGTCTACACACTCATTAAAAGACTAGTTACATTTCGGTAAAACAGAATGTGTACAAACAGTCAGATGAAAATGTACTTTAAAATATTTTACAGTCAATCTACAGCTACTGGAATGACAATATGTTCCAGAAGCTATTTCCTCTCCTTTCACTGTTGCCTCTTTCATTTTCCACATTGATATTTCAATTGCTGCAGTGACACTTCCTATTTTGTTTTGGCTACAGCAATGTCCTTTGGACTCATTCATGGACTCTAACTGGCAGTACAAGCAATTTTGCTGACAAATCAGCTCAATAGTCTTCTGAAAACTAACCCACTTAAGAAGTGAGCGAGTTGATCTTACACAATACAATTTACCTTCAGTGTAACAGCTGTTGCCAAATTAAAGGGAATGCATAAACATGGCCTCTGTCACTGGCAGCAGGGAAACAAGATTCTTCCAATAAAAAAACCAGCAACATCATGACTAAGACAGTGAAAGTCACCCACACCCTAGAGGTGCAAGTTAACTTTACAGGAAATTACAGTCAAAAGTAAGTCAATGATTTTTATAATTTGTTTCCACAGACCAGACATGAGGATATACTTACCTGTACTGTGAAATCCACTGATGAACTATTGATAAACTAAGAGATGTAAACAGGCATACTGTAAATACCCCATTTAGACATGAGGTAGCTGCTGTAGTGAAGGTTTTAGAATTATCAATCACATATAACAAACCGCATGTCTTTAATTCAGAAAAAGCTTCCAGAGAGCAACCTATGCTGAAAAAACATAGATAACCGACCAGCACATCACTAAGAACATTTTGAGAAAATTCCATTAACTTACGGTAGAAATGACCTGTACAGATTTGTTCTTAATAACTCATTTTCTAAGCAGAAAAAAAAAAAAGAGATCAAATATAAACAGGAAAAGAAAAATGAAGTAGCCTCTAAAATCAGAGATGGATGCTACTACAAGTATCTGTCATGACATGACCTTTTATATACCTGTCCAAAGAATTTCTAAGCAAAGATCTAATGGAAGCTGTCCAGCCTGCAGGAAAGATAAGTTTTGTGAAAGCATGTTACACATGCTGCAGACTTTGAAGCTGGTTACTTTTCTGACAAGATGCTGTTTGTCATACTGCCCTTTAAGCATATTTCAGATCAGTGAGATTACTACTTAAATATGTTTGATTACAGCAAACAAAACTTACAGCTTTATTATATGAGGATGCCTGAAGAGTTTGAGGTTCTGAATCTCCCTGCGGATTTTTCCTACAACATCAAGGCTACGAATCTTCTGTCGGTTCAGGATCTTCACTGCAACTTTATGTCCAGTTAACTCATGTTTTCCAACTGCAAGAAACAAGTATTTAGACAAGGTTTTCGACTACTCAATAAAGACCTTATTTGCCCATTTTGACTGCAGCCAAGAAATACAATTTAAGATGTTAGCATTCCACATATCGCATTATCTTTAGGGAGGTTGAAAACCAGATGGTATGGAATTTCTTCTGCCCTGCTCCAACTTCTTCCACAGTTCGCTTGATAGAAGATGTATATATGAAAGAAAAACATTGAAGCTTACCCTCAGAGTCTCACAGCATGGCTACATCTTTTGCAATATTGGGGGGAGGAAGCAAAACATATCCCAAAACCCTGCCATCCTTGCTAATTAAAGAGAGCATTTTCACTCCAAGCTTTTGGCTTACTTGCTAACCCACTCAAACATGTTTTCCTGTATCTCTTCTACTTTATCTACAGGGATCACTCTTACTAAAGAAATCCCTATTATCCCTCCCTCAAGAAACCTGTTTCAGCAATTGCTCTGAATTACCACTATGAGCATCTGATCAGCTTACCTACAAAAATGTACCTGTCCTTAGACCACTCTGACCCTCTATAAGCCCCATAGTCTGTGCAGTTAACACCAGAGCTTTCCTATATAAAGTAAGTGGCAAAAGCTACCAGAAATGCACAAAATTAAATACAACAGTAACAATGAAAAACAACCCTAACTTCATTACGTTCCTGGAAGTGGAAAAGAAACTGAGGGGTTTAATTTTTCTTTAAACTTTAAAATATTTCCCAATCAGTTACCCCTCTTTAGGTCCTAAACTTTTCAGAAGCTATTGGAAGTAGTCACAATGAAATTGCTAAGAATAGTTTTCTTAAACCCAACACTGGATCACAGACAAAACATTTAGAACCTAAATATCTCTTCCAGTAGAAAGCTGCACTATCTGCATGGTTTCTGCTTGCAGTGATTATAAATATACCATATTTTTTTGCCCCCCTGATTCCTACCTTTTGAAGATAAGCCAAATTCTAAGAACATCTACATGGTCCATCAGTGTCCACATGAATAGACATTACTAACAGGCCTGTGCTGAATACATTGCCTGTGTGTCTCCCCTCACTTGAGAATTTAAATAAGCCTCAGGCTTCAAGCTTTGTTTAAATATATCCATGGGAAGCTGTGATTAAACAGCAGCAATACACAAAAATCCTTCTGCATTCAACGGATAATTTGGATAGAATAACACCTATCTCTAAACTTTATTCACAACACAAGACCTTCATGCTGCCTTTTGCCCCAATACTGAGCTAAAAAAACGAATGCAAGTGAGAAGAAATTCTTAGCAGAGAGGAAAAGATAATGACAAGCATCTGAGCAGTTATTCTTACAAGACACTGTCTAAATAAAGCATTCTAAATTCCTGCAGGGAACTCAGTAGTGGATTACCTAGGACCCTGAAGCATCACAATGCTGCACTCAGATATCTTTAGTACCCAAGAACACAGAAAGACTCTGCCTGCCAGGTGAAAAGACACATCCCCTCATTCAGAAGCCAGTACCTAAAAATGGCCACTATAACCAAAGTACTGGGCAAGCACATTTGCACTGCTGAGGAATGCAGGACAAAGCCCACATCCACCACAAGTTCTAGAGAGACCACAAAGCAGTGACAGGTGAGTGCCTGGAACTGGATGAGAATTACCTGCTTTGAACCAGATCTACAATTAAAGCAATCACAACCCCTTCTTTTCTTCAGTTCAAATGTGATTCAAGTTTCAAGGCAACCCAGCAAATTATATCACCTATGTTAAAACCCTAAAGGGTAAAGAATCATCAACCTAAAAAATAAGAAAAGCAACTCTTCCATTTGAATTACAAGGTCTTTGCCCATCCATAATGGGAACTGAACTGAACCTGAAGCATTTGAAAAAATCTTTAAACAATAAGTTAAATTTAAACATTAGTTTCTGTTACTAAGAAACAGCTTCTCAGAAACTAACCAAAAATCAGAACGGATCTGCATCTTCCTTTGCTTTACAAGGTGCATGTTAAATATAGCAAGTAGCATATATTTATGACCAATTCTATAGCTTAGCATATATATATATATGCAGTTCTGTGTTATGTGTATAAAGTATTCTGTACATATGTTCTAAAGCCTCATTTTTGAGCCAGTTTGTTCCACTTCTGATTTGTCAGTTTACGTTAGATTGGAATTTTATTAGCACTCAGAAAAACACTATAAAGTCATTTATTAGCTAAAAGCTATGTTCAATACGCAAGGCACATAAGAAAAGTTTTTCAAAACAAATTTTTCATTCAAACCAATTAAATAGTAACATTTGCAGTTGACTGAAACCAATTCTAGCTGTCACAGCCTTCAAGGCTGTGTGCCTCAAGCCTTAATTTTATTCACTGACTGGGAGAAAACAAGATTTTCTGCTTTTTCAACTCTGCCAATTTTGAATAAATTACTGTAATGAAAACACTCTGTGGTTTGGTACAGAAAGATGCCAAAAAGCCTGTTCTCTTGCTTAAGACATTTCAAATTGAATCTCTATAGTCTTCAGTAATTTTTGCCTCCCTTTAACTCCACTAAAAATTATAAGATACCTAACTTTTTAAGATACAAGTTCTCAATAACCATCCACCTCATAAAATAAAATTGTTTTCTTGGATATAGTTCGAGGTATCTGTTATGTAAAACATCAGACATGGACTGGTAACAGACTGCTGACACTTTTGAATTCAGGATTAGGACAGAGCTGAAAGCATCACCTCAGATCATAATGCCATGCAGACACATAAGCAGACAGTGTTACCCTTCTGAAAGCTACTTTGCATTACCTATAAAAGGGAGTACTAAAAAATCTGAAGTAACCAAAAGGTATGTTTATCACCCTGATCCTCAACTAGCTACCAGATCTTCAGAAAAATCCCTGAAAAAAAGTTCATTTAATAGACCTAGTATTTCCCTTTATTTCTTTATTCTCTGATAACAGAATTGCCTTCAAGCTTCACTGTGGCTTAGCACAGCAGCAAGATTTCCAAGACAGTGACAGTCTCTAAGCAGCAGCAACTTCATTTAACTGTTGAAGTGCAGGAACAAGTCTCTAACCTAGTTGAGCAATTCTTCAATTGGAAAAAACTGATTATGAGTCCATCCAAAGTAAATACAACATTCTCATGAAATACAGGTATCAGTCATTAAGTGGGTAGGGGGGAAAAAAAAAAAAAAAGCTGAACAAGCTCATGCTGTATTCAATGAAACAATTCTGCAGTAGGCCAAAAAGCTAACCCAAAGCTCAGAGGAAAGCATTCTTTAAAAGTATGAGACAAATAAATATTTTCACTAACATGAAAAAAAAACCAAAACAACAAAACAATAGTTCATGCTGTACAAAGCCAACCTGCTGCACAACATTAGATATCATACTGATCTTCACTGTCCATTTCCAGGTCCCTTACTGTTGCCTTGATAAACACCACCTACTTACACCACGTGTGCAGTCTATACAGACCAGTGCTGGTAACTCAGATCTAGACACATGGAACAATTATTGTGGATTTACAGCCTGATGTAGTACATTTTCTCAGCATGGAACACTGGAAGACCGAATACTCTTCCTTTTACGAAAACTAACTTTAAATCAAAAAGTATTTGGAAATAAAAGTTTGCATTTGGTTTCAAAAGAAAACAACAGCAATGTTTAAAAAAAATGACAAAAATAGGGAAAGATGTTTTACACTGAATCATGGTAAAGTTTCAATGAGAATGTGTATCATATAGTTGGTTTAAGTTGAATATTCTTAAATCTCACAGCTTTTCACTTCTGTGGCATTTCAGCATCTAGGGTAAGCAGCAGGGTGAATTCATCTGACAGCTACCCTGATAGCATAAGACATTCAACAATTACCAAGTAAAACACTGGTTTTCCACTTCAAAGTTTTCAGGCTGCCACCGCCGTTAACATTAAACATCCACTTTCAAGGAGCCATATGCCTGAACCCCTACATCACGTGAGCTCAACGACAACCATAACCTGATTTTAAGAAGTGAACACATTTATTATAGTTTTTCGCTTAATATCAATTGATGAAACCATATCAAAATTATTAGAATTACAGGAAAACACAGATCTGGTATTAAATGAAGAAAATGTGTGCCCAGGAGGAAAACCAGTGCATCACAGATAAAATGTCCTTTACCACACACAGCTAAAGCAAAAGTAACACAGTAGATCATATAGGGACAAGAAAAATAGGGGTATAACAGCGCTGTCTTAAATTTAAGAGCATATTAAAACACTGATGGTATCTCAATCTTGGTTTTGTGCAGTGTGCTGGGTAAAAAACCCAAAATAAAGACATCTTCGACTCCTCCTCTTACCCATGTAGTCCCTCCATGGGGAAGGAGAATCTGATATCTTCTGGGCTATATTATTTTCTCTCTATTTAAGGAAAGAAAATTCCCAAGGAAAGTAATGGGATCCCAGTTGCCAGTTGGGGGTCACTACTCCCAAGTGCCTTGAAAAAGAGACTCGAAGGGCTCTGCTCTCCAAATATTTTCCACTGCATTCTCAGAGAAAAATATCCTATTTGCTATACATTTGTAACTTCTTCAGAACATGCCAATAGTTAAAAGCGTTTGTGTAGAACACATAAAATGGAACATCTATACTGAAGAAAAAAAAAAAGCTATGGGCTTTTTTACTGGTTATAATCACAAGCACCCATTAAGTGAAAAAAAAAAACACACACACACACAAACAAAACAACCAACTTATGAAGACTGAGCATAGCTCAACTCATATGAAAAAGATATTTTCAGTTTGCTTGTCCCAGTATCTGAAGTTCTCACGAGCAACACAGCAGGAACAGTGACGATAAGCTAATAAACAGTTCTTCCACCGTGCTGGGTAAGTTTAACTTCTACTTTATTTCTACTAGCCTTCAAATACACTAGCACAGCATCTGCATCCCTGCGGCGTAAAGTTGTTAAAGTCTGAGCTGAAAAAAACTTGATAACCACTGGTCAAGTAGACTAAGCATAAAATCTTTCGTATCTGTGAGTCAGCTATGTTGCCGGTTAATCCAACAATCCCCGAGCCACCTTTATATGCTGGGTAAGGAGAGAGAAATCCTGCCTTCCTTACAAGGACATCGAGACTTTTCTACAGCAAAACGCTATGAAAGACAGCTCGAGAATTAAGGCTCCCTACTTTCACTACATGCCCGGCGCCGTTTTAAACAAACGCGGCAGCATTTAGCTTCTAGCGGCTATTTCCGCACACACAGATGAGGAAGCTGATCCTCCCCCGGCCACCGCTTCCCTCTGCGGGACCGCCAGTCCCTCCTCGGCACCTCAGCCCGCGCAACCCCCGCTCCGAGCGGCGCTCCTGCGGCCCGGGGCCGCGCTGACGGGTGCCGAACGCCTGCCGGCCCCGCTGCCGCGGCTCACCCTTGACTTTCCCGAAGGTGCCGACGCCCAGCGTGTCCCCCAGGATGTAGTGCCCGATCTTCACCCGCCCGTGCTCGTGCTTCTGTTTATCCGCCACCGCCGCCATCTCGAGGCAAGGCCCGAGCCTGCGCATAGCGCCCGCCCGCGCGGGCCGGAGAGACGGCGGGGGAGGAGCAACCACAGAGTGCCCGCCCGCACACGAACCCGGAAGGAAACCCCGCTCTCGGCGCCCGCCCGCGCTGCCCGGGGACGAACCATTGCGGCCCGGGGGGAGAGGCGCTCTCCGTCCACAGCGCTCTCGGGGGGGGGGAAAAGAGGGGGAGCGGCACTGATGGCGATAGGTACCGGAGATGGAGGGCGCGCACATGGAATTCTAGTGCAGGAATGGCACCCCTACAGCGAACCCGCACTCGTCAAATAGACTTCCGAAGTCTGTATTTCCAATAAGCTTGTAAATTAAATCTGCTTGTTCTCCTCACTTCCTCTGCCCTGGCCCAAATCTGGACCCTAATACGGGAATATAATGAAAAGTAGGACCTTCTTCACTCCTACTACCTTGATCAGGTAACCTGTCGTCTGGTTTGCCTTGCCGGCCCCTCACGCCATTCATTCACGTTGCATGCAGGACAGTAACCCACCTTCCATTTCATGCACTCTATTTTCTATGTACCAAAGACCATACTTGTTTTACTGTTGACTATAATAGGAGTATATTTTTTAATCACATTCCAACCCCTGTTCAAAGAAACAGATAAACCTGCAGAAAATGTGACTATTGAATGATTATTTTCAAATGGAGAGATCATCAATTGAAGAGGAAGGTTACAGGAAACTCCCACGCCTTCACCTCCTTTCCCCAGTTCTCCAGACTAAGTGAACAATATTAAATGGGGGGCAATTAATGTGGGTGGTTTCTACTTGCTGGCATTAGGGCTTCCTTGGCATAATCAGTGTGATTTCACACTCACCTCTTGCCCTTTTCTCCTTGGCCTCTGACTCCACATTACCACTGAATATATAGCACGGTTCTTCCACAAGTGAAAGGTGCTATTTCCACCTTGCCTTTCCTCCCCACAAAAGCATATGTTTTGCCCAGATTCAGGCTTTTATCTCTTCTGCTGTTTCTAGCTTTGAGGTTGAGGACAATGCAAATACCAGAATCACAGAATGACTTGGGTTGGAAGGGACCTGTCAAGGTCTTCTAGTCCAACTCTCCTGCAATCAGCCAGACATCGTCAACTAGGCAGGATTGCTCAGAGCCCCATCCAGCCTGGTCTGGAACATTCGTATCTTCTCTGGGCAACCCGTTCCAGTGTCTCAGAACCCTCTTAGTAAAAGAAATTCTTTCTTATATGTAGCCTGGATCTAACTCTTCTAGTTTAAAACCATTACCACTTGTCCTATTGCTGCAGGCCCTACTTAAACAGGTCTGTCCATATCTTTCTGATAAGCCTCTTCCAAGTATTTAAAGGCTGCCATAATGTCTCCCTGAAACCTTCTCTTCTCCAGGCTGAACAACTCCAACTTTCTCAGCCTGTACTCATAGGAGTGTTGTTCCAGCTCTCTGATATTTTTTGTGACCCTTATCAGGACATGGTCCAGCAGAACCACATCTTGCCTATGCTGGGGTCCCCAGGGCTGGATGCAGCAGGCCAGGTGGGGTCTCTCCGTAGAGGGTAGAGTAGTAGGGCAGCATCACATCCCTTGCCCAGCTGCCCATGCTGCTTTCTATGCAGTCCCAGATGTGGTTGGCTTTCTGGGCTGCAAGCACACATGGCCAGCTCATGTCTAGCTTTTCATGCACCATTACCCTTCTTCATAAAGCTGCTCTCCATCCCTTTATCCCTCAGCTGGGGGTTGCCTTGACCCACATGCGGGACCTTGCACTTGGCCTTGTTTGAGGCACTTTTAAGTTCACATGATCCCACTATTAAGTTCACATGAGTCCACAAGCTTGTCCAGGTTCCTATAGATGGCAATCTGTCCTTTGGAACATGTCACCTGAACCACTCAGGTTGGTGTCACCTGCAAATTCTCACACTACACATTGAATCCCAATATCTTTGTAATTGATATTATTCACCGTGTGGGTGGCTATGCTTTCTTTGACCTTCCCTTGATGGATCACATGCCTATACAAGCCTTTCCTCTTCTTTGCATCCCTTGTCAAGATCAGTTTTAGCCACACCTTGGCCTTCCTGACCCCAATTCAATACAACTGAGCAACATCCCCAATACTCTTTCCAGTACACCTGTCCCTGCTTCCCTGCCTGTGAATTTCCTTCTTTTCCTTTAGTGTGACAAGCAGATCTTGACTGAGCCACGCTTTTCTCTTTCCTTTCTGGGTTTCTTATATGTGAAGATCGAGAACTCTTCCGCTCTGTGGAATGCACCCTTAAAAGATCTGCCAGCTCTGTTCCACTCCCACTCTGAGGGCAGTGAGTCCTATGGTTGACTAACACCTTCATCGTGAGACTTGCCAAACTCTGAGAGACGTTCCTCTGGGAGGGAGATGCTCATGCAGCCTGCTGTTATAGGCTGCATCCTGAGACAGTTGGCTGGCCTCAGAAGAGGGGGAAGGAGGGCAACACATTACCACATAAGAATATTTTACCAAAGGTGATCGATCTTTCACTACTGTAGTCACTTGAACATCTGCCTTTGAGAAACCTTCATCCAATACACTTCTATGTGTTTCTCACTTCTCAAAAGTGAGACTTGCACACTGAACAATATGTGGTCATTTCTGACATATTTTGGACTACACCATCTAAGCATGCTGTATGTATCAGTCTGAAGGATGCAAAAATCAATCATTACAGACTGTGTATTGCAATAATTCTATATACATAAAGGGGCTGATCTAAACTGCCAGTGAACATTATGCAGAGGTTCAATTCTAACTGATAACCCTTCAGTTAAAATCCTAGTAACAAGATCTCAACAAAATATTACATACTGAGCAACCACCACGGTAGCCTAGCTTTCAACATGTAGAAAAACACTGCAAAGAACTGGAATGCTTCAGAATCTGTTTCCAGTATAGTCTAACGATAGCTGACATGTGACACGTGAGTTTCATAATCTTTTTCTGGACAGGACTAACAGAGCCCCAAAAAACTTATTTTCTGTCCCTCTCCAAGAATTCTAAAATAACTGAAAATGCAGTGGCTGTCAAATCTCTTTTCCATAAAATTCATTCTTGCTATAAGTGAAATTCATCCTGAAATAAAGGTTTTGTTACTGCAAGTCTTTGCAAGTTTCAATCACTGTTACCATGGTGTTACATATTATACAAATGTTCATTTTCCAGGAGTAGAATTCATGAGAAGCTAACAGATAGCAGCAAACATAGCTAGTGCTGTGTTTTATCATGTTTGCAGGTCAAACAGGCTGCTTAGAACAAAATCCCATGCTACACAAAGATCACGCAAGACTTTGCCAAGGCTTTCACTCCCACCCATAGTCAGAGTACCTGCCATAGCACTGTCCAACTGTACCATCGCTCAACTAGCCCGCCCTTAGAATCCTGATGGCTGCTTTTTAACATTTCAGAGGCACTCCTTAGCCCTGGGAATACACAAAACACGTAGTGTGCACAGTGTATTTTAACAACATCACCACCAGTTACATTCCAACCTCTTCCAGACAGAACACTTCTAACCAGAGTGAGTGCAGGGGGAAGACTTCTCTGTTTAGACACAGCCCAAGTCAGTACACTCCAATATCAAAAAGCACTGACTCGACTCAATTTAAAAATACAAGAGCGAGCAGTCAGAGACACCCCAATTTCAAGCCTGGCTGAAAATCTGATTTGCACAAGGTGATACATTAACTGCTGCTCATTCAGTAACGACAAAGCAGTATGCTGCTTCTGAGAGTTCATGACAAAACAGTAAGATTTGCAGTAAAACAGCTTAGCATCTAAAAGCATCTCAGGTTTTTGAGTTTCTAGTATTGTCTCTGTAAGCTTTAAAAACCCTCAAACCCTTGCAGTGACTACTGTAATTCCCAAAACTTTCATAGTAGCACCTTACAATCACCTTCTTAGCAGCAGTTTGAAAGCCAGTAACACACCACATAGGGTACAAATGTATCAGGCATCAATGTAATTTTTAAGTAACTCCAAGTGACTTTTCTACCATAAGAATGATAATTTATTTTTTTATTATTTACACCCAGCATGGTTAATTCAGGTCATTCTGTGTCTTCTTTCCACACCAAGCTCTCCAAGTCATTTGGGCAACTCCTGTGCCATCTACAGATCTCCAACCTCTCTGTATCTGGCAGTATTTGTGCTCCAGAGCTAGGTGGTTTTTTTTTTCCAAGAATCAATGACCCACACAACACAGTACCTTTGTGGGCCTTTCAGTGCCACAAAGCAGCAAAAAACGGGCAGGACTGAAAACCCCTCTTTCACTAATGCCTCCAAGAGCATCACACAGAGCCATTATTATACCTACTATCTTCAGGACAAAATTCTGACTCTCCCTGCTTGGGCACAATGAGATTCAGAGGCACACAAGGCAAGTCCATAGTGCCAATATCCCATTTCTCTGACAGGGAAGCTCTTTAAAGTAGTAAGTACAAGACTCTTTTTCAGTTCAGTGCAAAGGTAACCATCCTTTTTAAGACAGAGGTCGTATCAAATGAAAAATCAATTAAAGGGTTGTTTGAAATTGATCATTTAAGAATTTGTGTTTGTGGGTGTTTTTGTAGTATCAGCAATTCTGCATTTCAGTGAAGTATGTAAAAAAAGGTGACAAGATTTTCTGGATAAGACCATTTATTTTAACAAATAGATGAGTCTTTATGATGAACTGGAGGCTGCAACAGCTGCTCTCTTGGGCTTCGGTGTGGTTCCCTCGCGGAATCCATTCCTGCAAGTAGAAATATAGTTATAACTTTCTGTAAAGTTGATTCCTGCTCCAGGTTATTTTCTGACAGTGATGTTTCAGAGTAAACTCATTACATTTTTTCAGCTTATCTCAGTACAGAATTCATACGCACATTTGTTAAAACAAACATCTTATTAACAACTGCCTTGAATGGTTTTCAACTACACCCATGACTGAAACTTAAAACCTCCTACGTTTTGCTGTTAAATCAAATCTACATTTTTATGACAACAGTCCTGAATTACTTGGTATTTATCATACAGCTT